ACGTATATATATATATATATATATATATATATATATATATATATATATCCACACGTTCAAAAGGAGTGTGCAGCATGCGGCGGTCACATGCACTAATTTTTGGCGCCGCGTCGGGCTGCTTCCGCGCAGCTGCCCTTTCTCTGTGGCAGCATCGGCGTGGTGGGGGGGGCGGTCTCTCCAATATTAACGGCTTTGCCAAGATTTTTTCTCAGGCCAAAACCAACTCAAGTGGCAACGGCTCTTCCTCAGACTTTTTAAATGGTCGCTTTGAGGGCGGGAGCGCCACCATGGATCCCTCCATGCTGCAGAATATGCATCGCACCTTGAACCAATCCTTGACGCCGGAAGTACAGGAATCGATGCGTGCCATGATGGAGGGTCTCAAGCGCGGAGACGGGATTCCACAAATGGGGATGATGGCATTTGGTGTGGGTGAAAATGAGAAGGGGAAAAAGGTTGCCCGAGGTGCCAAGTTAACATTTGACCCAAATACGGGGAAAGTCTCAAAGGATTTTCTGGAGAGTCAGCTGGAGGAGGATGACCCGATGTTACCCAAAGGGACTGTCGGGGATTACCACACTGAGGGAGCCATCGAGGTAGAGTTTGAGGAGGACTCGAGAAGACACGCATCCACCGTCGCGGAAACAATATCTGAAGCCGATGTGGTTCTGGAGGGGACTTCGGAGTCGTTAACGAGAGGTGGCAAAGACACAACACAATGAGGGGCGGTAACCGTGACGAAATGGTGTGGTCCAAGTAACGAATTGCCCTCAGCAGCTAACAATGCTCCCATATCTGTCCTGGCGCTGCCGTCGTTCATGCATATCCGCGTTAAAAAAGAAACCGACATTAATAAAAAAAAAAAGGACTTGAACGAGAAGAACCGAAAATGGTTGCACATGCAGTGGTATATGCTGGCTTGCCTTTTTGCCACCAAGTTGTCCTTTTTGTTTTCCATTGTTTCGGCCACTGGTGCCTTTGCAGCTCGGTGGTTGCTGGGGTCGCTGGGGGCAAAGTGTGAAAAAAAAACAACAAGAAAAAAGTTAGTGACAAGTCATATCTTCATGCAGCCCCACTTGGGGAAAGGCCTCTTTAGCCTTGTTGTGCTTGCCGTGCGGTAGTGACACGGTGACGTGTTCAAAATCATTTTTTCCTTTTATTTGCCCTATTTACTCTAAGCTAGCACGAAATAAAAGAAGCCCAACTTAATTTTATTTGTTTGCTTTTTTATTTGCTTCGAAGAGTAGGAAGGCAAGCTACGATGTTGTTTTGTTATCCTATGTTTCCACTTTTAGTGGTGTTTGCCCTTATCGTCCCATTCCGGCCCTTCGATGCAGAAGGTGCGCTCCTGGCTTCGTCTTCCATCGAGTACTGTGAGCGTGGAAGCACCACGGATTTGCTTCCGTGTGAGAAGAAGATGGTGGTGACTTTGTCGGTGGATAATGCCCAGGATGCAGGTGTAGAAGAGTTTGTGCTTCTGCAAGATGCCGTGGACAAAACACGAGGTACTGGGGAAGAGCCCGTGAAATTTGAACCAATCCGTCTGACGACGAAAAAGTCACGCGTGCAACATATATACCCCCTTTTTTACGAACAGAATTTTAACTCCAAGCCATACGAGGAGCAGATTCCAGCGGAAATAATTGGGTGCGAGGATGGATCCAACTCGAAGGCGACATGCGGGGTGGTCCTAGATGCAGCTGGGGAAACAATTCCATACAGCGAGGGATTTTGTTGTCGTTGCGGTATGTGCCAATTGTTGGGCATCTGCCCTCCAGACAGCCGCGGCCTTCAAGTATGCAACGTTTTTGGAGAGGCTTCAATGGCCTCGTGTCTCCGTTTTGGAGAGCTCTGGTACAGTGGGTACAGCATAGGCTCAGCCTCTACCTGGTACCGCTTGGAGGTAAAGCTAACGGCTAACTCCTCAACTGAAGCCACCAAAGCGAGGCAGGCAGTCTTTGAGTTGGGACCGGATGTGCTTTCGGGTTCATCACCGGAGTTTGGAGCTTGGGTCAATATTGTGGGGGACTTTGTGCCCTCAGAAGCGCCACTGGTTCTTACTGAGAAAATGCTTTTTGTCCCCACCCTTCCAAGAAAACATAAGCTTGTTTTGGCAGGATCATCAGAGTGGTTATTGCTAGACAAACACCGTGTGAGCATACAGGGTCGAGAGTGTGACAAGGTAGGGGTTTCATATGAGGCTTTTGCTAGTCAGGGCAGCAGATGCCAGTTGAGGCGGGGGTCGTGTCTGGCCGATCAGTTGGAGGACTACCGTTTGAGTGACATTGCAGTTGAAGCCAAAGGGGGCAGAGGTCAGTATATGGCTCGTTTTTTTGGCGATTTTGTGCTGGGTAACGCCAACGCCACCGACGGCCCAACCCTCTCGTACTGGATGCAAAATTCATTGACGACGATGGTCACTATTGTCATTTCGGCGGACAGACTGAAATATGTGCTGTCCGTCTCCCCGGGCGAAATCATCGCCACAGAGGTGTCGAAGTCGGTAATCGAGAGTGCTTCGAGAGATGGTGTGCTTGTGGTGACGGTGCGCAATACTGGAAGCATCACAGCGCAATACACCCTTGGAGTGGGAAACTGTTCGCGACATGTTCACCCCATGATGGCCCAGGCTGTGAGTATGGCGCCACATCAGACACTGACGCGCGTTTTTGACTTGAATGTGCAGGGCACGTTGGAAAAGGGACTAGTGCATTGTGATGTGACGTTACAGGACGCGCGAGGTGGTGTTACCGACAAGAAGCTTGTGGAGTTTCGCGTGACAAGCGTGGAGTGGAAGAACGGAACACAGGGCGGTAATGCACCCAGTGGAAACGGCGGCAGCGTGGGTGGCAATAACGGTTCAGCTTGCAAGCGTTGTGAGTGGTACAACATTGTGTGCTTCTTGATGCATAGGTGTTGGTGGCAGCCACTGTTATATGTTCTGGTTGTTATTGCTGTGCTACTAGGGGTATATTTTTTTTGTAAAATGTTTTCTTGTATCAATGACGAGCATAAGGATCGTGAGTGGCCTATTTAGAGAGTGGCTACCCTGCGGACTTTAGTTCATCACAGCATGCCCGCCTTTTGCCTGTGTGGCACACAAGGATACTGCTCGGTATATGTTATCGGAAAGCAGCAAGTAATCTCTATTTTTTTTCTTTCTCTCATATATATGCCTTTTTTTTTGTTCTTCCATGATGTGGGAATGAGGGGCTTGCCATAGGGAATGCTCCACATCGCTCCCTTCCCATTTGGCCAGTGACTACTGCCTCATTGCTATTATTACCTTGAGAGCGGGTGAGGTTTCTGGAAGGGTCGTTTGTTGAGCTGAGGTGCAGGGTTTTTTTTTAAATTTTTATTTTTCTGCTGGAGGACGCTAAGCTTTCACTCGCGCGCACTGTTGTGGAAAGCTCTGTCCTTGTGCTATCTTTTGTTTCCTGTCTTTTTTTTGTTTTTTTTTTCGTTCTACAATGGGTGTTTTACCTACTTCTTTTTTGTGTTGCTGCTGCAGTTGTTATTGCCTTCGCCTTATGTGTCTAAGTTCTTATTGGGAGCGTTATATATATGTATATATTTTTTTTTTCTACTCGTCAGGTCCGTGACTATTCTCTACTGGTGCGTCTTCACTGACGCACCCATCACCAATAACGCAGTCAGCGCTATAGCACAAGGGAAAGAAGGAGAAAGCAAGGCGTTATATATCTGTATATATACTGTTTGGCGCACAATGTTGTTCTATCTGACGCTCCTTATCCTCTGTGTTGGCTGTGGTCTCGGCAATGTAGCACAGGGTTTAACGTTTGGTGTGATTGGAGACTGGGGATTAGGGGCATATGCAAATGGGCATTGTCCCGAGATTATCTCCACGCGGCGGTACACGGAACTGTGTGGACGACTTGGCTGCAACTTTACAATTAGCGTAGGGGACAACTTCTACTGCAGCGACGTGGCGTTCTGCATTCGACATTCGTTCGAAGAGGCGATGAAGGACGTGCCTGGCCCGTTCTTTCCATGTACGGGTAACCATGACAATGTAAATGCACAGATTCAATACTCGAAGCGAAACCCTCGATGGTATTGGCCGAGTCGTTACTACACCGTGAAGCTTCCGATTGATGACACGGGCCACACCGTGCAGTTGTTTGCCTTGGATTCGCTTGATTATTCACTATGGAAGGGTAGGCAACATGATTGGTTGGTAGAAGAATTAAAGCGAAGCAATGCTCGATGGAAAATTATTTTTGGTCACTATCCCACTACCGGGAGTGGAAGACACAAACGGGTGGGCTCGGTGGGAGGGATTAACCAGCTAATGAGTCAATTTAACGTGCAGGCATATTTTAGCGGCCATGATCACATTGTAGAGGTAAATAATATAGAGGGGCGTGTGTTGGCTCTAAGTGGTGGGATGTCACGTGGCGCACTAATGGCGTACGCCACCGGCGGGAAGGCAAGAAAATTTACACTTACCAGTCCAAGTGAGTACAGCCCGTATAAGCAAGCGTGGCCCAGTCATGGGTTTATAACAGTGGACTTGGCTCCAAATACGATGAACTTAAATGTCTGGGACTCTGCCGGGGGTATGCACTATGAGTTTGTGGTGACGCATGACTGGATGCAAAAAGTCATGGAGCTGCCACCTGCCGCTCGGCATACGTGGCCACCCCCGGATGTAGTGCTGCAAGCTATGAAGGATGAACATGCACTACCCCGCGGTCCAGGCGGGGGGACTGTTTTTTTTGCCAATGGGACGCGTGTAACACTTCCAGGCGACAACGACGGCCGTGGGGGACGGGACTCCACTGGGACACCGTCAGGCTATTCTGCCGCCCCACCAACGCCTGTATTGAAACTTCCACCCACACCTGTTCCTGATTACATCCAATACGCCGTCTTCACTGAATGTGAGATGTGCAATAAGAAGTTCCGCGCAGGAAAGCGATTCACACTACGTATTAATGGTGAAACCCTTTCCCTAAACCATCGATTGTACCTGACGGATCGGTCGGATGGCTGCGATGACGCCCATCGGGGAAATCATGTTTTGCCTGGGACACGCATTGAAACTCCTCTCTTCAATACCCTTCTCTTGAACGTGACACGTGTGGTGGAGCGTGTCTATGTCTGCCTTAGTGTAGATGCCGGTGCCACCTATAGTAGGCTTCTCCGTGAGGATACCGTGGAGGAGTTGTACACGTTCTCTATCACAGCTCTCTAACGCGAATAATATGAGGCTTGAATATATATATATATATATACATATATTTAATTCCTTTATTGTGTTTTGCGTTATCCAGTGTCTTTGTCTTTTTCTTTTTTTGATATGTTTTTCTTTTCTTTCTTCTGCGTACCCCTTCACATCCTAGATTTGCTCCGTACCCTCAGTTCTTGTCTGCTGGAGAGAACGAGAGTTACTGGAAACCAAACTCAGAGGGGGAAAACAACTCTGTCTTCGTGTGCCCTTCGCTCTTCATTTTTATTTTTTTACTTCTTTTTTTTTTTTTGTGTGTGTGTGTGTGTTTCTGTGTGTTTCCCTCCCCCCTCCCCGTGTTTCTGATGTTCTGCATCCATTCGCGCTCTTTGTCTGCCTCACTTTCGCTTTGCTTGTGTCTACCGCAGGGCGTTCCTCGTTCCGAAAAGAGAGGCAATTCCGCTTCTCTAGGAGACGGGGTGGCGGTGGTGGTGGGTCGGGCCGTGGATAAAAGGGAAGGACTGCCTGCTGTGCTCCGTAAATGCCGCGTGTGGGAAGATGCGACTCCCAGAAAAGGCCGGTGGGTGGCACCAATGGCACGCGACCTATGGAAGCCAAGGTCATTTCCGTGGAACGCGCGCGGCCGTTGCGACCGCAGACGAAAAAGAAGAACACAGCAATCGGAGCATCTTCCACGGCGCCTAGGAATGCTCACGGTGGCGCAGTACCTGTATCAGCTTTTAGTGCGCCATTCCCGTCGTTATTGCGTATGCCGTCTGTAAAGGAAATGTATTCAGTTGTACTCACCGGCACCACAGGGAAACCCCCGGATAGTTCTTGCACTGGAGAGGGCCGGCTTCCTTCAGGAGATAACAACGCCATTGCTGCAATGTTTTTACGGCAGCTTCGGGTTGCCTGCGCGGCGCACACCGGAAAAACGTCCGGTGACAGTGGTGTTAGTAGTAGTCGTGGCAGCTCTGATGTATTGTGCTCGCACGCAGGATTTACTTTTTACCGGCATCTTTACGACATGCACCGATGGCTATTTTCGTCTGGCGCCTGTGAACATGGACGCCGTGTAGTTGTTAAGCATGCCTGGCAAGCACTGTTTGCCAAGAAACTTCGACCATGGCGTGTGTTTATGACGATTTTAGGCTCTGAAATGATGCTTGCAGATGAGAATGCGGCGTCAGGATTTTTGACGATGTTATACAATATTTTGCAGATAACTAGTCGTCCTCGTCGCAAACGGGTTATCAGATTGTGTTGCCGGTTTAGGTTGCCGCAAGAATGCATTTCCATTCTTGAGGGGTGCGAGGACGCTTTTGCGGCCGCGGTGCGATTGTACAATTGTGGCAACAGCACGAGGAGCTGTAATCTGACTTTGCCGCGTGAAGGGGGTTCACAGGAGCTGAATGCACGATTGCTGGGGTCTGACAGTTTTCATTCTCCACCTTTTGCCTTAATGCGTGTGGTGGAGGCGGCAGCAATGCTGTTGGGGCTTTGTGGATCTGGAAACGCGAAGGTACTTCGAGTTGTGCGTCGTACAAATGCTTTATCATCATTGCTTTATGTCACTGAGTTACTCTTTGCCACCGTGGCGCGTCAGTTGTCCCAGATAAAGACGAATGACAGGAAATACTTTGTAGGTGATGACGAGGGCGGCACAGAGGCAGTATATTGTAGGAACGAAGCTCACTTGTACTGTGCTTCTATTTCTCAGCATGTGTTACCCACCTGCGATGCTCTTCTGCACCTGGTTGTAGCACTTTATCAACTTGCGGCCCTTCCGGCGAATGCGGACTTCATGGGTGAGCGTGGCGTGAAGCTTTGCGTTCAGCTTGGATGGATGCTGCACAGCTTTCTTTCAAAAGAGATGAGTTTGTTGCGAGCTCTTTCTTTGCCGTTACAGGATCACCTTGAGAGAGTTGCGCTGCGGTCGATTGAACTGTTGTCGCGCCTCTGCTGTGGCACAAAGACAAGGAAAAAATCACTGGAGGCGGCACGGGAGCAGGGTGCTGTTGGTATGCTTGTTAATTTTAGCACGCACCCGTCGCGGCGCGCGGAAGTGGGGCTTGCCTCTCTCGATGCCTTAAATGCCCTAACAACCAAGGATAGTGGGTGCCGAGAACAGCTGCATGGTGACGCAGAGGAAATTTCTACTCTTGTTCAGGGTGTTGTTAGAGCAGCCGAGTTAGCAGCTCGCTCAGCAGACCACTGGCACAAGCTCTATGTATCGTTGTACGCATTATTTGGCGTTGTCACACTTCCGGGTGAAGTAGATGCCACTCGACGTAATGAGGGCGCAGCTCCCACGCTCCGCGTTGTGCCTTCACAACACTCCTTCTCCGTCTTGACGCCGGATGTGATGCAGGGGTTTTCGTTGCTCCGTGTGGGTGGAACGACAATGCCACTCTCACTTCTTTCGATTGATTTTCAGCCGGATGCCTTTTCTCCGGAGTTACATAAAGAAGGAGAGTGGGGTTTCGCCACGGACACGCTTGCCTTTATAGCGCCTGAAAAATTGCCTTGGTTGTTTTCAAATGACGTATTACCACCGTCGCGTGAGATTGCCGCCCCCCTATTTCCAGACGTGGGGATGACAGAGGTGGAGCTGGGACGCTGCTTACTCTCGCATACTCTAGAGGCTCTTCAACCCACCTCATCCGAGGTGAAGGTTCGAGTGCTCAAACGCCTCATTGAACGTCTATGCACACCTTTTCACTGCATTGATCGTGTCGTGTATGAGCGACCTCCACTTGTTGTGTTACCCTCACTGCAGGTAGTGTTGGAAGAGGTGACGACACCGGAACAGGTGCAGTTGTTGGGTGGGGAAGAAAGCAGAGGAGGGGGAGGGCAGGCCCACTTTGAGGCTCCTTCCTTGACAGGATTCTTGAAATTTCAATCGGACTTTGAGTCTGGCAATTTACAGCGTGCTGTTGCCATTGATGAGGTGGAGTACGATCTTGTGCTAAGCCCTGACACAAACACAAACTGTCATGTGCAGTGGTTTTATTTCTGTGTTGAGGACTACACGCCTGGCACAACGTACCGCTTTAACATTCTCAACATGGAGAAATCCAGCTCGACTTTCAACGAGGGCCAGCGGCCTCTCATGCTATTGGTCGAGGATGCCGTGTCGAAAACGGGCGTGTCGGGCCTGCCACAGTGGACGCGTTGCGGACACGACATTTTTTATTACAGAAACTTGTATCGACGCCCGGCACGTTGCACCACAACCACCACTGCAACGGCGGAAGCAGACGGTATAGAGATGACTAAAAGTCATGGCAGCAGCGAACGCAGATTAAACCACGGGCAACAAGCCTCAAAGAAGGCGAAAAAAGTCATCAAGACAAAGCATTCCAAGAATCAAGATGGAGAAGGGACCTCATTTTGTTACACACTAAGTTTTTCTGTGGTATTTCCAGAGAAGAAAGGACGTGTGTTTTTGGCAAATTGTTTTCCGTATACCTACACTAACCTCATAGCTGACATTCATCAGTGGGAACAGCAGGCAAAGGGTGGCCTTGGTGCCTCGGCCCTGGTGGCGGTGCAACAACTTTGTACGACACCCGGTGGTCTTCCGGTGCCGATTATTACCGTCACAGCAAGCACCTCGGGGGATGGGGATGCTGAAGGCAGTAGAGAGAAAAATTTGTGTAACAGTTGCGGAGTTGCGGCTTTAACAGAGATAGAGAACCGCCCGGTGTGTATCGTGACCTCGCGGGTCCATCCTGGAGAGAGTAATGCCAGTTGGATGTTGCGTGGGTTGTTAACCTTTCTTCTAGGCGATGAGGAGGAGGCCAAGACGCTGCGAAGCAGCTTTGTGTGGAAGATTATACCTATGCTGAATCCTGACGGTGTTGTGCTTGGAAACCATCGCTCCTCACTGGGGGGAGCAGACCTTAACCGTGACTACGCAGATCCAAACCCGTGGACCAATCCCGTGATTTATTCGCTGAAGCGACTCACTCAACACATCATTTCTAGAGAGCAACGCCATGTGGCACTTTTTGCGGATTTGCACGGACACTCACGCGCCAAAAACTTTCTTATCTATGGATGTACACCCCGCCCAGGGGAGCCGGAGAGAAAATCGGCCGTCAGGGGTACAATGGCAATGCCGCCATCTCAATTGGAAGCTTCCTCCAGCAATTCCACATTGGATGCTCGTCGACAGGGGTCATCGACCGCGACCTCAGTGACGACTGCTGCTTCTTCGCCTGTTGAAAAAATTGTTCCCTTCATTCTGAGTTGTCTTTCTCCCGCCTTTGCACTGCCACAGTGTTCTTTTACGGTGCATAAGAGTAAGCAGAATACTGGACGGGTTGTGATGTATCGTCAGTTTGGGATACGCATGAGCTACACGCTAGAGGCAACCATGATGGGTGGGAAAGACGATGAAGTCTATTGCCGCAACACCCGCATTATACCGAAAAAATCATTAGGAGGTGTGGTTGGTGTACTTCAGGAAGAGAAAGCAAATAAAGTCAGCAAGGAAGAGGAAAAAATAAAGGGTGCCGTGGAGCCATGGCCTTTGGAGGTCTGCTACAGTACTCGTCAGTATGAAAATATGGGTGAGTTGCTGGTTCGCAGCCTCCATCTTCTTAGGGTGGATGGTGAGGGTTTGGACGCCGCCATGAAGGAAACAATTGAACGTGCATGGTCATTGTTCTTTGCCACTACAGGCAATATAGATGCGATGACTGTGTTGAGCTCTCCTTCCATGGGCGGTTCGTATGCGTTTTCAACACGAAAGGAACGTCGCCTGGATGCTCTCAAGGTAAAGAAGGAGAAGACGACGAACACCGCCACACTGTCGATGGAGCAGCGAAAGGAATTACTGCGCGCACTGCTTGTGCGGCCAAAGGTGTCAACTACACACCCGATGGCTCTTGGCTCCGTTTTTATGGGAAGCGAAAGTGACGATGAGGAGGAGTCCGAAGGCTCAGATGACGAAGATGACGATGACGTGGGAGACCAGGTCAATGCCTCTAGACTTGAAGATGATGACGGTGAGAGTGGCGGAAGCGATGATGACAACGAGGATGATGATGACGATGATGACGACGAGGATGATGATGATGATGATGACGCGGACGATATTGAGGATGAGGAACTTCCATCCTCTGAGGTTGGTGGGGCCTATTTCCTGGAGTAGCGTACATCGCTGACTTAGCAGACCACTTAGACACCACTCATGTTTTTGAGTGACGCTACAGCACTGTACGCCCATGTGGATTTGTTTCTCTTTCATCTGCTCCTTTTTTGATGAAATAACTTTTTGGTACATCAGTGATAATAATAGTAATAAAACAACAACAAGATCATGTCGTCTGAATTTGATACCTTTATTATTATTACTTTTTTTTTTTTTTTTTTGCCTTCCTTCCATTTGTACTGCTTTGCATCTTTCTAAATGTCACAGTTTGCCCACATAGATCTGCCTAGGGGGAGATGATGGACAACGATTGGCTTCGCAACTCTTCTTTGCCTGCTGACTGTCCACCTATAGATCATGGCAGTGTGGGGCAGGGATGCCGCTGGGGTGGCGAACAGTGGCTCCTCGCAGAGTCATGGACAAAAATTTATTGTGGGTGTTGGAATCGGCGGCATTGCCGCTTACGCGATTTACTTGTTCTACTGCGGAATTCGCAGAGGTCCACCGCAACTTTTTTGGACCACTTCATCCGTGACGAAGTGGAAATCGTCATCGCCTTCTTGCCGTGCAGAAAGGCGCGATGAGGCAGCTGATCCGGTTACGCGACCAACGCTGACGCTGGTGAATTTTCCTAAAAAAATGCGGGCGGTGTTTGAACGCTCGCTGCGACCGCTGATCAATGCGGATGAATTGGCCCTGCAGGACGCCCGTGTTGTGTTTTTTCATGAGGTATCAGAGATTACACCCGACAACGTGGAGGCTGTGGTTCGCCAAGAGGTTGTTTCAGCCTTTGACCAGTTGAAGGGAACTCCCTGTGCTGTCTATCGTTCTGTCCTGGCGATAGATGGGGAGCTGGTTAACCCTTTTTGGGGACCTGAGGAAGCGGTGAAGGCTTCACGAGGACGTGTATTTCTTGAACGCCATTGTATTGGCTATACTGTAGATGGTGGTCGAGTGGAGTTCCTTTTTCACGATACGCGGGGCATGGTGGGAGGTGTCACTGATTGTACCTCGACAATGAAAACTGATCTTTACCTGGATGCTGTAGATGATGCGCTGCGACGTTGTTTTTGCGCGACCACGCTGACCTTTTCTTTGGATAAAGAAGAGAAACGGGACACCATCGGAGGCTTTTCCTCTTCTGGGCATGGGATATGCATTAACGGCCCATATGCTCGCTCCTTTGGAGCGTTATGGCTGAGTCCTGTACCGCTTTTTGCAATGTTTGGGGCAGCTGTGCGATACAGTCGCGCAGAGTTTGATGGTTGGAGACGGCTTTTAAACCCAGACGGGGGTGACAGGTCCCCATTTTGGATGGTAAATCGAGTGTGGCGATGGTGGCAGGGGAGAAAACAATTGAAGTTGGGTGTTGCGACAGAAGAGAGCAACGGAGGAGACACCTTCACTGTGGAAATTGAATCTCTTCAGGATTCGGAAGTTATTGAGACGAATTGCGGTGAGCTCTTGAAAGATGCCTTGAAAAGGGTACGGAGGTTCAGTGGTGGCAAGGAGACTATTGAAATAGATACTTTTCCTTCTGCAACTGGCACAATTTTGCGCTGCGCTTTGCGTCCTGGGCTTACTGTGTTTCAGGCGCTGTGGGAGGCGTGGAGACTGACTGCGTTAGCCTCATGCCTCAAGTGCGATGTGCAACAATTCCGTCTTCTTGTTGCTGTGAGGACTCCAGAGTTGTCCACTTCGGGTGCGACGGTTACAAGCGACCATGCGTCGCGAACCCACGTTCAGGTTTTTCCTGTATCAAGGGAAGAGAAGGAGTCATCCTCCCCGTCCTTTTTTTCCTCTGCACAGTACTTTCGCCTGCTGAAAGACGGCCGTTGTGTGGAGGCAGCGGAGGCGTTTCAGCGCATTAAGGATGGAAATGTGCACCAATTGTACTACGTTGTTGCAGAATACGTGACAGGGGATTTTGACGGTGATTCGGCAAGGCATGCATGTGAGTAAAAAAAATAACTAAGAGCCATGCTAGTTGGTTTGGTAGTTGCCACAGCGGTGGAGTTCTTTGGTTTTATCGCTAGCGCATTGCTTTTTTTGCTTTTTTGCTTTTTTGCTTTTTGTGTTGTACCAATTTTTATTTTGGGCATGCATCTCCCCTTTTCATTTCCTTTTTTTTCATCCCCGCGTCTTATATATATTCACTTTTTTCGCCATGAGATGATGGACACGCAAGCTGAAGAGCTTGGGCGCGCAGATGAACGACACAAGGTTTTTATTTCCATCAATGACATTGCCTGGATTGGGAAAAATGTATTTGTTGTATCTGTGCCAGCGTACAAGCGAAGGATTAGCTGCGAGCTGACGGCCGTGGATGTGCCACGCGGCACGGCATCGGCCCTTGAAGAAAAAGTAATGAGGACATTGAATGAAATTCGCTGTGCGCCGTACAAGTATCTTCGACGGGACCACTATGCCTCCTTTCCAAATCAAGGCTACGGAGACATTATATTTAGGATGAGTGACGATGCTGCAGAGTGGGTTTCGTTGCAGGAGCGTTTGCTGCGGCGTGGGGTTGGCAGCATTGTGCGTCCCATAGTTGCACGACTGGAGGAACTTATACAAGCGGAGTTTGAGGGCTCAATGAGCCCGACGCATCTCCCGGACGGTCGCGAGAAGCCATGTGTGTGGGCAAACCATCATTACAACTTTGAAAACGGACCACTGTTTCGCAAGCAATTGACTGGCCAAATAATAAATGTTATGCGGGGTGATGTATATGTGGTTCGCTGGGACAAGGGACAAGTTATGAGCGGGAAATGCACGAGCAAACATAATGGTAACAAGGATGCTGGTGACGCACACCACGAAGAGTGGCCACCGCAGCTTGTGATTCTTGACGCTGTCAAGTGTTTTTCGCCGCGTACCGCGAATGGCTTTGCGGCACTGCGGTGGGCACAGAAACGCCTTCTCTACTCCCGCGTCAAAGTCTGCATTCACTCCACACACCCGTCGGAGAAGGATGTGTCAAATAACACGCAACTCTTTTCTCATGAGCAATTGCGATGTGTGCGGTCAGCTGTGTACGTACTACCACGGGAATCTGGCCTGTGCGCGTCTTCCACGCGACGAGCCACTAATGTAGGTAGTGCCTTGATTTCAAAGGGTCTCGGACTTCTTCGGCAGGTTGTGGATGCTGCCGTACCGCGTTCAAGTGATTTTCATGAACTTCTACGTGCTGCCAGGGACCGCTGTTGCGCGGTGACAGACGCGACACTGAAGGATGCAAAGCAGTCTTTACCGGACAATTTGATCTCTGACGATGGAGTTTCGTGCCCTGCAAATGTTCCCGTTGCTACGTGGTGCAACTCTTCCCCATCACTGAAGACGCTGTGGCAGACCACAATGTGGGATGGAGATGTTCATCGCAGTGCGCACGATTACCCCCAACGCATTTACTGTCTTCGACCACTGCGAAGCCTCTGTGATATGAGGACACTGATACGTGAATGTGAGACCTTTGAGGGCTTTATCAATTCCGTGACGTTGGTGCGGGAGTCTCTCGGTGCGTCTTTAGAGCAGCAGCAATGTCGGCGTCGTCGGTTTCTTCGTGTGGAAATTAACGCTATTTTTGCTCTTACGAGGATTCAAGATATCCTTGCCAGAGTTGGGGCAAACACCTTTGGATCTGTTCGCCTGCATCCCACTGGAGGGAGTATATTGGGCAACACTGTCAAGGTGACCGTGGTATACGACAGGTGGCTGAGCGTCATTCCCATTACGGAAACCGCTTTCCTTAACATCACCGTCACCGGGTATGCGCCGCAGTCGTACGACCCTGCGAAACACGCCCCGAAGAAATGTCAGCACAGCCTGCTCGTGAAGAAGGAACAAAGGCAAGGGACGAAGGTGCTTGAGCTAGAACTTTCAGATGATGAGAATGAAAGAATTTTTGTTGTTGATGTTAGGGTGGAATTTGGAAACAGCACTGAGCATCTGAATCATCAGAGCGTGTATTTTCTCACCAGAGCGGCACAAGGCCCTGGTACCTCAGGCGCGTTGCTGTGCGATGATGACTATTCCAATGGTGAACTTGCTAGTGTGGACAGTGGGGAAGACCACTCTGCGTGTGATAGTGACAGTGAAGAGGAATCTGACAGACAAAACGAGCAAAATCAAGGCGCGGAAGAGGCAAGGCTAGCAGGCAATGATGATGAGGCGGCTGAGAGAAAAGAGAAAATGGAGTCGTCGGATACGTTTTGTCATTCGAGCGTTGATTTTTACTTTGAAGTGATGACTGACGCGGCGCATAAAGGGGGAGAATCCATGCGGAGACTGCGCGATTGGGGTAAAAGTCTCATGTACCGTGATGTGCGGTGTATTCCAATGGGCATTGGCACTGTGAATGGAGCTCGTGGGTTTTTGGGAGATGTGCTGCTGATAAAGACGCAGGAGGAGGAGGAGGAGGAGGAGGAGCAAAGTATTTTTTTTACAGTGGAAAAGAACTGGCGGCCGCCGGCCCATTCATCATGGTTAACGAAGGATGATGTGTGGACGGGCACGACTCGGATATTTGAGCAACATCATCGCAGACGCTGCAATGCTTTGTTTAAGCGGGAGTTTGAGTCACGAGACCTTCTGATTAAAGCTTGGTACGAGTCAATTTGCCGTATACGTGCGGAGTTATTTGAGACAGAGGACATTGAAGTTATGAAAGGGAACATGGTTTTGGATTTTGCGACACATTTGAAGGCGTATGGTGCTTTTTTGGCTTGCGACAAGCCAGATGGTGATGACAATGCCGTAATTTATGCCGAGGCGGGGAGACTGGAATGCTGGTACAACTCTGACACGAGTGTCTCAGCTGCGGGGACCACGACGACTGCCGTAGCAGCCAACTTGCAGGTTGTTGCGTTTCAAGACCATAACGCATCCTTTGGCCTCATTTCACCATCATTTCTGCCGCCCAAGGTTCCTTTGTCTGCATTTTCTCTTTTTCCGCGCCAGTTTTTTTCCGCGCACAGCAAACAACATCGCGCCTTGCTGACTAAGAACAACGTGGCCTCCATGAAGGAGGGCGGGGATATTCACGTGGATGCGGCCTTTTTTCGGCTGCCCCATCGTTTTTTGCCCAATCTTTTTGCCTCAAACTTTGAGCGCCTGCCAGCGGCTCTGCGGAATGTAGAGCGGGCTTTTTGTGATTCGTTGCAACAAGGTGATATACCGCGTCCTCCCAACGCGCCGGAGGTCGTATATTACGCAACTCAAAAAGCTTTTGTTTCTATTTTATCTATGCTTTTGCTGCTTCAGCTGCGACGTGATAATTTGGGAAAGGAATCGAGCGCAGAAACCCACCCGTACACGTCTATATACAAGTTGCTGAGGGATGAGTTTGGTGCCCTGTACGATTTGAAGCTGTCCAGGATGACTACTTCCCTGGTGCTTTACAGGGTGGAGCCCAACCTAAATGCGAATGGGGATGGACAGCAACGGCAGCCTGCACTACTTCTTGGATCTCATGACACAGAGACGAGTGACACATTTGAAGTTCCTGGCGGCTTTACGACATTGGATAAAAAGTCCTTGTTTCGTGCAATTGGAGTGCTGGGGTTTGAATCACTTGTTGCGCCTCGGCCGGCAAAGCCGGCCGACGATTTGACGAACAACGACGATGACATTGTTTTACTTACGGAGTTGAGTGCTGAGGAGTGCCATCCTATGACCTCCCGTGGTGTCGGGCCTTATCCGTTAGCAAGCAGCACCCCAAGGCTTTACCATCCATTTCCCTGGCTCACGCTTCTTGGCCAACCGCTGCTTGCTCGAGACGAATACGACGCGGAATCGTTGGGCAATCACGAAATGATTGCTGAGGGAGGTCACCTCATTCGACGGTACATTGCGGTTTCATACACGGCTCTTTGCTTGAGTGAAAGAAAACCGTATCGTTCATTCTCCTATGGTCGAATAACGCGGTCGTTGATTTATGGAATTGTTAAAAAACAAGCAGAGAAGGGCTCCGCTATCATGAACTATTTATCTCTTCTTCTTCGTTCTGCAGGCACTACGGCTGAGGGTGCCTCTCCGTTTGCAGATGGAATCTTGAATGTGTACGGAACGGCGAGTGAATTGTTGTACCTATTCTATCAGTCTCGTCGACAACTTCGCTTTCGACTTGGTATGCTTTTTCCTTCTCTTTTGAAGGGAGTGGAAGACACGACGGCTCCGACGGGCGCTGAGGTGAAAGCCGAAGAGGAATTCCTACAACAGTTGTCCGAGGCAGGGAAGCAGCTTATTGACCTGGTGGCGAAGCAGACAGCTGAACCATCGAGTTGCAAGAGTGGCGATGGGAAGCCTCCCGCACGCGTGTACCTTAAAATAGATCTTGATTGCCTCGACGCAGGCACGTGTATGTGGGTCTCTGTGTATCCCATCAAGAATGAGCCAGAACCCGAGGGATATGGCGAGGCAGTTGGAACGCGCGCTAACCCTCATCAGCAGTTTGACCTTGCGTCCAATGTGTGGTCTCGATTCCCGCAGCATGTACTTCTTGTGAGGTATCACCCTGAACACGACAAGTATGCTTTTGAGTGGTCGGGAGTTGAGAATCCGTCCCATGTGGACGCTAAGATGGTCCCCACGGAACAATAAATCACGCCGTTTACACTTCAATTGCTTTTGTGGAGTATTCGTGGTGGTTGTGGTTGTGGTTGTGGTGGAGGTGGAGGTGGAGGTGGAGGTGGAGGTGGAGGTGGAGGTGGAGGTGCGACGGAACACTTTTATCGCCCCCACGGTGTGCTTGCACTGCTGGGAACG